CACAAGCAACTTTGGAAAGGAACCACCACATTTCACTTGCACTTGTCAGAGCGAGGGTTTATGATTGGGATGACCCAAGCATGAGTATCAAGGTCACTTTGCTTCGGGGTGACTCTTGCCCTGCCTTGGTCTGATTATCAAAGCAGCTTTTGAACAAAAGAGTTGAATCCAGTTGTTGCTTGCAAGCAAAATGCCGGCTTTGCACTGCGTATTCTGCAATATGGCGCACATACTGGCGCACATATTTGTTGAAGTTCACACATGGCTACCAGGCTAAACGGCTCAAAAAAAGAAGACCCTGACACCCGCAGGTGTGGTCCTGTGCTTCATCGATTGGGGGGGTTGAAGGGTACCTTGTAGAGCCTGGCCGCCACATGACCGTTTTTTAATGATACGGCGACCACCGAGATCTACACATTCTACACGGCACTCCCAAAAAACGATGGAAGTGGATGTCGCCACCTGTTTGGTATGAGCATGTTTAATTGTTCTCCAAGTAGGGGTGTTCCTCCATTCCAAAGCCCTTTCATCCATAAGCCTCCCGGCTCCCCCCTCATGTGAGGCATCCATCCCCGCGGAGATTTCACCGCTTCTACCGCGTCGACCGCGGTCGGCTGAGCCAAGCTGAAGCGATGAACTAGACGTGCGGGCGGCGAAGAAAAAATAACCTAAGAGGTGGTCGATAGCATATTAACATATTACAGCATATGCTAACTTAGTCAGGGTTTTAGTCAGCATATTAACCATATTATATATAATATATACAGCAAACGCCAAAGAAACATAGGCAAACGACAAATAGGATTCGGATCGACTCTTGGTCAAGAATTTGGGGTAGGTCCAGTCTATCAGGTAGATTGATTGGGAATATTTACCTATCCAGCATTGACCTAGCCCCTCGGAATCCTTGACATGGACTAGGACTAGGAAAGCTGGCTACAACGGGAACCGAGGAAGATCGGCCAGCCAAGAGAAAATGAACACAACTATACCCTGCAAGTCCGGGAGTGAAGGACAACGATCTTATATAAACAATTTAAACACGCGTCCACCTTCAATATTGGTCCTGTGTTATTGTTTCTCTTTGTTTTCTTGTGTTAGTTGTCTCTGTAATTGGTGTCTTCCGCCACCCCCAGCAAAACACACGAGGACGATGCCAAAGGCAAATCTTCCGCTGACCTTATATCCTTTGTCTACTTACGTACAATGTCTTGAATATCTAGGTGTGCTTTCCAATGTGACACAGTCAACTACAAACCACCTACCTGCACCATCACCGCCGTCGACCGCCAACTTATGAATGCAAGGACTGCAAGGGTTCTCTGGACAATCAATGAATTCAGGCTAAAAGAAGCTAAAACAAGAACAGAAAAGGTGGGAGAGGCACATTGAGCAAACAGGTTTGACCATTACAGCAATGAGTGCTCAATTCAGTGCACAGTTGAATGTTCGACAGTTGAAAAGCAGAATCTACCTCATCGGGAAGAGTCAAATTTGGTAACGCACACTCGAAAGAAGGGTGGCAGGCCAAGAGAACACGTCTATTCAGGATCTGTTATGTAATCAGCTCGTGATAAACACACACCTGTGGCTATTGAATTCTCCGCCTTCACTAAGAATTGGGGTCTAATGCCTCTCATCTATTGCGTGTCGCCATCTACAGTAACCTCCATCTAAAGACATGTTACAGGTTTGTACCATCTACTCTGAAACCACTGTAATGCGGGTTCCTGTTGAACCTATCCATCGTCTCGTGCCTTCTGCTCTCGGATCTCAAGACCTTTGCCTCGGGAGTCTTTGCCTCAGCGTCGAAATCCTCGGTGCCCTGGTGGACCAACGACCACAGGAACCAAGAATAGACCCGGAATGTAAAATAAGCAGGGATGGGGGGAGCAACGAGTTCTCCACACTCCCAGACCCACTCCCATCCTAAAAAGCATTCAACCCTGTTCCAAAATCTCCTGACAAGGCTAAGCTGGGCAGCATCGCCTGGCCATGCGAATCTCAATCAACTATCTCAAAGTGCATCTTCTCTATCGGCCCCGTAGGCGCCCATATTCAGGCCATCCTTTTCAGAGAAAAACACATCCACATCCCGACCGGATTCTAAGATCACGGCTCCTCGGCACCAACAGGTCGTAAATCACCTGGCGGGCCGCGGCGTTCCGGCGTCCCTGCCCAGCCGGGGGGTTCCACAGCCTGAAGAGGCCTGGAAGAGGGAGCTGATAGAACATGTAGAAAGGTCTCAGATTAGATGGCAGAACCCCCAAGATGACTTATAATGCTTATGTTTAGTATATATATATATAGGTAGATGATATATAATAAATAGATAGATGGGGTCTGGGGTCCAATTACCTTGTGGATATTGCGCCATCTACCCTCAATCCACGATACGCTCCCCGAAATCATCATGGAAGTGGATGGCACCACCTGTTTGGTCATTCCTGAAAAGGGCCATGCCATCCACTTCCATGGGCTGTCTGCTCGTATACTTGATGGTCAAACAACTACAGTAGTACGGCACAAACACGTGAAAACGGATTTCCACTCGGACCGTGGTGTCAGGGACCGCTCCGAGTGCAGCACGCGCCTCATTGTAGATTTCCAAAAAACTGCATTGCACCAGGAAACCTCGAGCAATTCCACAGAAACATCTGAGCAACAATGGCAGGGCCACCTTTCGACTCGCTAAGCCTGCCGGACCAACTTCTTTTCACCCCCCCTCTTTTCGTCAGGTAAGATGGCTCCCAAGGGTGGATATTGGAGAGGCTAGGCCCATTACATGTGTATAGAGAGAGAGACTGACAGAGAACTATATATGTATCCAACTGTTAATCCATTGTCCACTCTCTTCCGCTTTAAAAACACCCCTATTGGCCCTATTGCAACTCCGGAGGTTCAACAGAAGCGGTTTCAAGCACGGTAGTTCTTTGGGCTCATCAGTGCGCCGGGCTGCCACTAGTCGCCGCAAAAAAAAAATGGCTCCAAAGGCTCGGTATCAACAGGAACTTAAACAACTGCAACCAGAAGTTCCCAAGTGGCATCCGCAAATCCATTCCACTTAGGGCTCCAAGTATCTTCTGAGAAGGTGGGACTGGGGTGGGTTTCAAGGGTCCACAACACGTTCCCAGGAGCTACTTGAAGCCCTACAAGAATCGTTGCACGTCAGCTGCAAAAATCCAAGGAACGGCTGGTCGTGCTGCTCCTTTGGGCCTCAGCCTTGGCTATTCATCCCAGGCCTTCCGGGCGTTTTTCTCCAGGGGGCCCGGTCTCCGAGATGCTCTACCCACACTGCTGGGGGATCCAGAAGGTCCCACTTTTTGCGATGGGTTCTGTGGGAATTGACCTGTCAACCATCCTGTGAAGTGTTTGAGCCAAGAAAAAGGCCAAAACACCCAAAGGATCCAACGAACATAATGCTGTGGCAAAGAATGTCCCTCCCCCTGGTTTTCACAGGTGCAATCTTTCAGTTTCAATCTTCGTGGCCGCAACATGGTGTGGACATTCTGTGTGCCCAATTGTGTGGCAAGCACCAGCCCTTGACTTCGAAGTGAACGAAAACAGTAGCCTGCAGCACCCCCACCAGATCACCTCTAACTACCCCAGCACTCATCGCCACCCCCCTGCTTGGGATCTCTTGTCAACATGTTCTCAATGTTTAAAGTTTAAAGAACCATGGACCATCCCCCCTAAGTGTACATATACACATCCGCAGTGCGCGCCTTGGTTTGGATCCCCAACTCTTCCTCCACCGGCTCGAATCGGCGACGAGAACAAGCCACGAGCCGTGCGAAGAGCGCTTCGCTGATCCGTGGGATGAGGCCCATGTCCTGCACGACGGCGTCCACGTGGGATGAGGACGGCTGGAGAACGATGGAGCCTCAAAACCAATGGGGGCCCTAAACGTCCATCAAAATAAACAAATGTTTGTAGGGTGTTGGAACAACTATGGAACACTCAGGCGTTTAGGAAACCCAGGGGCCCTGCAGTTGTTGGTCGTTTGGTCTTGGTTCCTTTGGAAGAAGTTCACCACAGACCACGTCGCCAGTTGCCCGGAGTGAAGAAAACATGCTGACATGCACGTCTGGAACCCCACAGTGTCACAGAGAGTTTTTCACAAGCGATGCCTCTTCAAACTACATAACATGCGGTTTTATAGTATTAATATGTGCTTTGAATTGCTTTAATTGATTGATATGGGGGGGCCTCAACAAACATCCAAACGAGATGGAATCACTCTTCTGAGCTCACCTGACCGTCGTTGACCCGGACTCCACCGACCTTCCACAGAAAAGACATGCGCCGACCTTCTCATGCACCGACCGGTCCATGTTTTTTTGCTTCACGCACGGAATCCAACACTCCCAGTTGAGTCCATTTTGGAGGAAAGAATTGGAATCCATGTTGTGAGAAAACCAATCCATTTGGTCATTTGGAGAAAAACATGTAGCATTCCTCCCCAAACACATCGGGCGACCGGAGTGGCAGCTGCTCTCCGATCCTTCTTTGATCCTTGCACATTCCTGGCATACCGTGCAAACAAAGATCCTCAGGCACTGACTCTGACATGGTGACAGCTGGATTGCTGGTTTTGTGTCTTTTTGTGCGTGGTGAGTGTTACCCTGGAACTCCAAAATCTTGGCCCATACCTGGCCCAACAGTTGTCATTGAGTATGTTCGTCCTTCATTTTTTGGGCACGTCTGCCAATTTTAGGTCTTCTTGCAGGAGCACCCCTGTTGCGACAGAGACTTTCCAGCATGAAACAAAATATATATATATATATATTTATTTACATATATACCAACCAATCTGCAGAATTTAGGCGGATGTCCATGAGAAGATGTTCTCTAGGGCAGAGCCTATAATAGCAAACATACAACACTTTGGACGCCGGGCATAAGCCCGAAACAACAAAAAAACACGACAGCCCCCCTCACTGGGAGTCCATGGTCCTCCATGGTCCTCCATGGCCCCCCCATGCGCGGTGATCTTCTTTCCACCAACTGCTGGGTTTGTCCCACGGATTCACCGAAGTGGCCCATGTGGAATCACCTTCTGGGAGGCTACGCGCATTGCGCGTGGCGAGGTGCTGGTGCCAAAAAGTGGTACAAACAGGGCGAGTGTCTTTTGACAGCGCCGAACGGCGAGACACAAAGAGGTCAGTCGTCGTGCAGGGGCCCAAGTCGCCAGCAGCTCATCCTGACGATGGTTTGACAGTTGGCCAGTGGAACTGGATCGTATACACTGCAGTGATCCCCACAAACAGATAGAAGCAAATCCCTTTTTTTGACATGTATGGGCCATGTATGGGAAACTTTGTGTGTCGTTTGTTTCCTATATCCTGGCTCGATCATGTTCTATCTCTCTTTGGGGGGGTGCTATTAGCAAACCACATCGTTTGTTCTTGGTTTTCCCCACTAATTCTTGGATCCTTGACCCTTGATGGGGGAAAACTAGCGAGCAAACTGGTGTGCATACTGACCCCAAAAAACGGGTGTCGGTGTACGCTAGTGACTACGTACGCGGATCACTGACATGGAAGTGGAAGATTGCAACTGGAAAAAACAACAAAACAAACAGTTTACAAACTGGGGGGGAGGGGGACGTCCACTTCCATGTCAGTGAGTTCGATATCCACGCCCACGCCCCAAAAACATGAACAAAATTGCATCTGCAGCCCCAATTGGCACCGGACAAGTTCAAAAGAAAACAACCAACCATGTGGGAACTGTCCCAGACTAAAAATGGACATACTTGGACCTTGGACCTGGATGACCTTGGGTATACCGGTATACTCCATTTACGGCCCAGTGGATGATGATGCGCCTTTCTCAAAAGGGCCTTCTCAAATATCGTGATAGTCGTCGACCGACTATTATAACTTATGTGCAGGTAATGGGGCACACCCAAGTTGGACCACAGAATGATTGAGTCTGACACCAGGAGTTACAAAGGGGTGGTGTTTGGTCCCTAAGTGAGTGGATAATGGGCACCCTTAACCTCCATTAAGCAACCCTTTGTGACTGCTGGTAGTTTGGATTTGCTGTAAAGCACGCGTGAACGAAATGTTGTGGCGTCCGGCCTGGCGTCATGTCACTACTCACAGGGCTTCATGGAGAATAGTGATGCCAAAAAGCTATCGATGATGGGTAACAGCAAGTCCTCTACTAAATTTAAAAGTACAGCTTGCGACCCTTGTCCAGGAATTGTCAAAAAAAAACAACATTGGTGTCAAACTGAACCCTGGCAAACATCTTTCGGGACACCTGACGGGTCGCCAACATCGCGGCTCACATCCTTTGGGGTTCACGTGTGGGTGCCCCTCAACCGAGACGAACCATTGAAGAACCTCCCTTTTGCACTCCTCATTGCCCTGGTAAGTAGGTGGGCATCTCTGCAACAACTCGGGGGTGAAACACACGACATGTCACTTATTTTGAGTATAGGATGTTGCCTTGAATTTCTTGCCAACTCTTCAAGGCCAGGTAGAAAGGTAGACACACACACACAAGTGAGAGGTGTACGGACATCACCAGTGAACATCCAGTCTGGAACACACACCCAACTCACGCCAAGGCCGCCAAGGCGCGTGCAACAACCACCGGTGTCCTGCATTTCTTACAGGTCTGAGCACAAATCCTTGGTGCTCAACCGGTGCCATGGACAGCACCCGCTTGCGGGCCGGCCATCGGGAGAGGAGAGGATGGAACAAGCCCAATCAATCAGTTTGGAGGTCGAATCTGAACCAGCTCTTGCAGCAAGTGCCGAATTCGGAAGATCTCCGAGAAAAAAAAAAGGGGGGCACTTCAATTGTTGAATGAAGCAGTTAGAGACTCAGACTCGACATGACTCAACATCTAGGATGCTCTCATCTTCCGGGAAAAATACTATATGATTCTAAATGATTGGCCACCTTCAGCGAGGCTCTCAAGTGCCCCACAGCTACTGTACAATGAGGTTGACGAGTATACCCATCTATAGTGATTGGTTGGGAGGGTCGACAAATGAAGCTCGCATGTGCGCATCGCTGTGGTGGCCGCGGGTGAAAAAGTCTAGCTTTGATTTAGACAAACAATTACATACGTTAAACTTTTATATAAAATTATAAGATCACTTCGCAGGAATGCCAGTGCGAACTTCGAACGACCTTTTCTCGCCCGAAAGAAACAATAAGGGAACGGCATGGCAAACTGTCCTTCGCCAAACTGCGCTGCAAGCGCCGTGAGATATAGTACAACTATATATATCGAAGCCATGTGCCAAAAGCAACCACGAATGCTCTAAGGAGAGTCCACCAGAACATGGGACATCCATCCAATGATGACCTAGCTAGACACCTCTGCCTGGCGGGGGCAGATTCTCAGGTGGTCCAAGCATGTCAACAACTTTGCTGCCAATAACTTCGACAAACATCTACAGCAAAACGCATTACTTCTCCTCTATTCCTGGAATAGTCCCGGAAGTACTTGTGGATCTTCATGAGGCACTGGCTGCTGGTCCCAAATCTGTGAGGGGGGGGAAGTATGAACTTAACTAGCAAATCATATATATACTATCTATAATTCTAAAAAAAACAACTACTCCTCCTTACACTCGAACAAGTAAGGCCAGCTCAGTGACCTGAGAGTCGAAACCCAGCTACTGGCCTCCGTGCCGACGAGTCGCCCGGCCAAGACTTCGGCCCATTCCCAACTCATGGACACGTTCGAGTGGGTGCCGTTCTGGTAATCCTCCTCCACACATGTGACACCTGGAGGTTTTTGTGAGTGAAGCTGGCGGTCTGACACCCCGGTGAAGCGCTTCGTGGCGAGGCGCGAAGAAGAAAAAGACAGGGCCAAGTGCGAGCAACAACTCATGGAACGTCATGTGACCCCAGTGTGGCTTGAGGAACCACCACCCCCCCCCAAAAAAAGGAATCGTCGAAACTGCATCCAGGGGCCAACAGGATCATGTCAAACGCGTCCCTCAAACAGGCCAAGGAGCTGTTGCAAACACAGTACGGCCTGACGTCGGCACATGAATAGATCTGGGCGAGGGCTTCGATACCATGATGGTTCGACCAGTCTGGGCTTCCACAGGTCAAGCGTAAGACCTGGAGTAGCACTTCCTTGGACGGCAGGATCTGCAACAAAAATCGCAGGAACAAGTCTTACTCTAGGTTGCTTACGCCTACGCAACACCGGGTAACGGTTGTACTTTCTTAGTCACATGGGAACCGAACCAAATTATACCTTATATGCAGCCGTATTATGCATATCCGATCATGCCTGAAAGCATGCAAAATGGGTGCCGTCAAAAACTTAAGACCTGACTGCCCTAAATGCAGAGATGTACTGCTTGTCTCTGTGTATGTGTGTGTGTGTGTCAACCCCTGTGCCTGAGGGTTCCACCTTGTTTTTAGTTTTGCATGTTTCTTCAGCAGGGGCGTCAGGCTCGACACATCTAATGTGGCCCTCAGATTTATAAACCCCCTAGAATTATGTATGTTTTCCCTGCACTGATTTATAAAGAACCCTAGAATAATGTTTTTTTGGAGGAGTAGTTGTAGTGGGATTTTGTTTATTGGTATAGTTTACTTCCTCCCTGTTGATTTGCTTTACTCACCCTCTATTCCTTATTTACTTGTCCTAGCTCTTTAGTTTTGAATCTTTCCAAAAGTTTCCAAAAGTCAGTGCGCACTTTCTTTATAAAATC